GCTTCTCCACTTAGGAAATACACTCCCCAAGCTGGTGCTCCCCTCAGCCTTCCCCTGAGCAGTTAATGGCAACTCTATCCTTCTCAGTGCTCAAGAGAGAACCTTGAAGTGAGCTTTCACTCCTTTCTTTCTTTATTTTGTATTATTTTTCTTTGAGACGAAGTCTCACTCTGTTGCCCAGGCTGAAGTGTGGTGGCGCGATCTTGGCTCACTGCAACCTCTGCCTTCTGGGTTCAAGTGATCCTCCTGACTCAGCCTTCCAAGTAGCTGGGATTATGGACGCCCACCACCACGCCTGGCTAATTTTTTGTATTTTTAGTAGAGAAGCATTTCACCATGTTGGGCAGGCTAGTCTTGAACTCCTGACCTCAGGTGATCCGCCCACCTCAGCCTCCCAAAGTGCTGGGAGTACAGGCGTGAGCCACCGCACCCGGCCAACTCCTTTCTTTCTCTCAAACACCATACCCATTTCTTCCTATGGGTTTCTCTTCAGAGTATACCCAAAATCTAACCAATTTTCACCATTTTCCCTGCTATCGCCATCATTTCTTTTGTGCATTGCTGGGATAGTAGCAGGTCTTCTAGCTTCTACCCTTGTGCCTCCACAGTCTGCTCTCAACACAGCTGCCTGTGTGATCCTTTGAAAACAGAGTGGATCCTGTCACTCCTCTACTCAAAATCCTACCACAACTCCCCATGTCCCTGAGAGCAAAACCCAAGTCCCACAGTGGCTACAAAACCCTACATGGTTCAACCCCCATCACTTCTCTCTTTCTTTTGTTTGCTTTTTTTTGAGACAGAGTTTTGCTCTTGTTGCCCAGGCTGGAGTGCGATGGTGCAATCTTGACTCCCTGCAACCTCCGCCACCCAGGTTCAAGTGATTTTCCTGCCTCAGCCTCCTGGATAGCTGGGATTACAGGCATGCACCACCACGCCCGGCAAATTTTGTATTTTTCAGTAGAGACGGGGTTTCTCTATTTTGGTCAGGCTAGTCTCGAACCCCTGACCTCAGGTGATCCGCCTGCCTTAGCCTCTCAAAGGCTAGGATTACGGGCGTGAGCCACCGCACCCGGCCACCGAGAAGACCAAAGTGAAGGGGCCTGCCTTTAGACAGGGCTTTCTTGTTGCATCTTCCCATGGCAGAAGGCAGAAGGGCAAGAGAGTAGATATGCTATTTCTTAAAGTACCAGGCATGATCCTGCCTTGAGGCATCAGTATTAATTGCTCTCTCTGCCTGGGATGCTCTGCTCTTAAATATTCAATTCTGACTCTCTTACTTCCTTCAAGTCTTTGTTCAGATGCCATCATCTAAACTGGATTCCTCTGTTTAAAATTGCTACCTCCCACAGATCTTTCTACCCCCATTTACTTTTTCTTTCCAAAGAACTTACTTATCACCCCCCAACATCCTGTACCATATACTTAGTTATTACATTAGTTGTTATCCCACCCACCTACCCCCAGACCCCTAGAATGGAAGCTCCTCTTGGGCAAGGAACTCGTGTCTCTTGCTCCCTGGTGCATTTCAAGTGCTCACAGCTGTGTCTGGCATGTCGGTGGCACTCAGTACTGCTATCGTTTGAATGCGATAAACTCATGTTGAAATTTAATTCCCATCGCGATGGTATTAAGAAGTGATATTGCTAAGAGACAATTAGGCCATAAGGGCTCTGCCCTCATGAATGGGTTAATGCTGTTATCTCGGGAATGGGGTCCTGATAAAAAGCGAGTTGGGGCCTGACTGCTGTAGCTGGCTCATGTCTAGTCTCTGGCCCTTCTGCCTTCCGCCATGGCATAATGCAGCAAGAAGGCCCTAACCAGATGCAGATCCCTCCACCTTGAGCTTCCCAGCCTCCAGAACTATAAGAAATAGATTTCTATTCTTTATAAATTACTCAGTCTGTGGTGTTCCATCATAAACAAATCTGCTGAGTGAGATTTAGGCTAATCAGAACGGTTCAACGATCTTGACAAGGGACAATAAGGCAAGTTCCAGTTCAATGTGCAAAGCTGGAAGCAAGGAAAAAAAGCGGAACCACAAACCAGATTCTGAAATCCAGATCAATCAATCAGCAACTTGCAAGGCCCAAATGCAGCCAACCAAGTGCTCTGATTTGCTCCAGTGTTGTTTAAGGATGGTTGATACACTTGACTAGAAAAATGTGGAATCCTAAAACACTGGGAATATGGAGAAGACACTAAGGATTGTGGAAACCCTGACCTTGGACCCTCTGAAACAGCCTCTTGTCATGTACACTTTTGCTGAAAGAAGGCTCCCATTCCAAGGCTAAGATTGGAATGCAGTTTGGGGGCAGGGGCAACATTCTTGCGGAGATTAGAGAAGATAGGTTCCTTGCAACCCCCTTATACCCTTTTGTTCTGGGTCTATGCCTCAAGGCTAAGACCATTAAGCAGAAAACAACTGGGGATGCTAAGAAATGAAAGACCCACAGTCCTGGCCCAGGCCTGGCTTTTCACCTCAGTAGGGCTGAAAACGGTAAGATCCAGCAATGTTGCTGACGTTCTTTCACCTGTAAACAAACATTTCTTGAGCTTCTATTAAGGTCAAATTCTTGGCCTTGAAGAAACAGTGATGATTAATATAAAGCCCCTGCTTTCATGGAGCTTATGTTCTGGTTGGGAAGACAGAAAATAATCAAGTAGAAAGGGATTTAGGTAATTTCAGATGATGGTACTTGGTAGACACTAAGAAGAAAATTAAAAACAGAATATGAGGGAGGAGACACTAGTTTCGATAGGGTGGTCAGGGAAGGCCTCTGAGGTCTATTAGATATAAAAAGCCAAACTAATGGATGTTCTTGCTCTCACACACAAAACAGCACAGAGTACTTAGCCTGTGATCGCCAAATTGTGTTGGCATTTCTCCCTACTAATTCTCCAGTGTCTGGCAACTTCATATCCTATAATTCAATTCAATTCTGACACTAGCTACCTGGATACCACGTCAGATCCCACAGGATGAGGGCTCAGTCCCCCAAGACTGCCCCACATCAGATGCCAATTGCAAGTCCCAGGTTATGATCTATGATTCTGACCTACCAGCTATAAATATGGATTCCCACAATCCCCCTCCTCAGGTTTGATGATTTGTTAGGACAGCTCATAGAATCCAGGGAAACACTTACTTATGTTTACTGGTTTATTATAAAGCATTTTTATTATAAAGGGTAGAGATGAAGAGCCAGATGCGGAAGTGCATAGGGAAAGGCATGGGGAAAGAGTCACCTCCACGTTCAGCGACTTGAAAGCTCATCAGATCTTGTTAAAGAGTTTTTTTGTTTTATTTTGTTTTTGTTGTTGTTTTGAGACAGAGTCTCACACTGTTACCCAGGCTGGAGTGCAATGGTACGATCTCGGATTACTGCAACCTCCACCTCCTCCCAGGTTCAAGCGATTCTCCTGCCTCAGCTTCCTGAGTAGCTGGGATTACAGATGCCCAAGACCACACAGGCTAATTTTTGTATTTTTTCATAGAGACCCTTCACGATGTTGGCCAGGCTGGTCTCGAACTCCTGACCTCGTGATCCACCTGCCTCGGCCTCCCAAAGTGCTGGGATTACAGGCATGAGCCACTGTGCCTGGCAAAGGAGTTTTTATAGAGTTTAACATCCAACCTCCAGCCCCCTTTTCTGGAGGCTGGTGGATGGGCTGAAAGTTCCAGCCCTCTAATCCTCTAATCACTGGGTCTTTTTGGTGACCGGCCACATTCTGGGCTATCTAGGGGTTTCACCCCAAATCACTCATTAGCATGAACCCCGGTGTGATCAAAGGGGACTCATTATGAATAACAAAGGGCACTCTTATGGACATTCTAAGGGTTTTAGGAGCCCTGTGACAGGAACTGGGGACAGGAACTGGGATATGTCATGTCTTACCACAGAGGGTAATATTTCCTCTAAGATCAGATGATGAAAAGGATCCAGCCATGCAAAGAACGTTCAGGCAGAGAGAAGAACAAGCAACCAGGTTCTGGGCTGGGAGGATGTTCGTGGAGCCCCAAGGAAGCATGTGTGGCTCTGGAGAAGTGAGTGAGAAGAAAAGGGACAGAAGAGATGAAGCTGGAGAAGTAGCCTGGGCAGACGCTGACAATTACAAAGTGCATCTCATATTCGGACTTTATTATAAATATTACTCTACACTGTCGGGATGGCTAAAAGCTAATTCAGTACACCAGCTATAAAAGATTTGTGGCTTGGGCAAGGAGGGTGGGGTTTGTGATGGAAATAAAAAGACATGAATGAATTCAGAGATACTAGATATTTTAGAGTATGAAAGACTGAATGCACCAGACAATTAACCATAGTAACTTCTATTTAATAGTGAAAACTAAAGGTTCAGAATATGCCACCCCAAAATATGCCACTTTGGCGTAAGGATTATTTTGAGCTGAAAAAAACTGAGAAATAGCAGACAGTGAAAAAATTATTTGATCTCCGCCTCATTTGCCTAAAAGTCAGGCATGAATTTTCATTTGTAGAGGTGTCTCTCTCTCTCCCACACCAGTAATAGAAGGACAACTATTAAACTCTTAATTACCAGAGACAACTCTAGACTCTTAATAGCTCAGAAATGGCACAGAGAGGAGTCTACAAAGAAACCTTATAAAATAGCCTTTATCATCCATTAGTTTCCCCCATATATTTACTTTTCCACAGTTTGCCATCCTTAAAAACCTAAACCGCTTTTCCTTTGCGTTTTGTTTTTTGAGACAGAGTCTCACCCTGTCGCCCAGGCTGAAGTGCAGTGGCATGATCTTGGCTCACTGCAACCTCCGCCTCCCGGGTTCAAACGATTCTCCTGCCTCAGCCTCCCGAGTAGCTGGGATTACAGGCACCTGCCACCACCCCCAGGTAATTTTTGTAATTTTGGTAGATACGGGGTTTCATCATGTTGTCCAGCCTGTTCTCGAACTCCCAACCTTGTGATCTGCCCACCTTGGCCTCCCAAAGTGCTGGGATTACAGGCATGAACCACAACACCTGGTTCCTTTCCTTTTTTTAAATTTGAAATAAAGTCTCACTCTGTTACCCAGGCTGGAATGCAGTGGCATGATCAAGGTTCACTGTAGTCTCAACCTCCTGGGCTCAAATGATCCTGAGTAGCTGGGATTACAGGCATGCACCACCATGCCTGTCTAACTTTTTCTAATTTGTAGAGACGGGGTCTCCCTGTGTTGTCCAGGCTGGTCTCAAATTTCTAGGCTCAAGCCGTCCTCCAGCCCTGACCTCCCAAAGTGCTGGAATTATAGGTGTGAGCCACGATACTCAGCCCTAAATTGCTTTTCCTTCATCTTGTCGCTTCTCTACAAATTTATTGTTCTTTGCTAAGATGCTATATGCCCCAAGTTCTAAACACCACTTCGAGTTACTCATCACTGAGTTCTCGTGTGTATCCATGTCACATTTGTTAATGAACTCTGTTTGTTTTTCTGTTTGTTTGTCTGTCATACCTCAGTTTAGTTTCTGGGGCCCCAGCTGCAGAACCTAGGAGGGTAAACAAAAAGGTTTTTTTCCTCCCCTACAGTGGATAATTGTGCACTATCTGTCACACAATAGCATTTATATACTTCTCAAAGTGGCAGAAATGACCCTGCTCATAAAAGACCCAAAGATACGGTCTCTCTGTTGCATATAAAAATAAGAAGCACATAACTTACAATTACGCTGAGTAGTCAGTGTTTCTTGGAAATTATCTAGATGCCTAATGAATATCCAATCATTGTTGCAATTTAGAATCACTCTAAAATTTTAAGTTACCAAAGATCTTGGAAATTACAAGCTAATTATCGTTGAAATAAAGCTAGTCAGAATAAGTTTTCTATTTGGTTAAACATATATTTACATGTTTTATAATCTTAAACATTACATAAAACTAACACTAACTATTCAATCAGTAGATCTGTATGAATTAAAGTGCATACCTAAGTAGAATAAAAATGTACACTTATATTTAGTGCCTATAATTCAGAAAAAATATAGCTGTTTTTACTAAACCAAAAGTATTAAACTAGTTTTGTTTGCCAGAGATTTATCTAAATTATGTTAACTTGTGTTCTTAAAATATTTCTATAAGAATACTTCTTTTTTCACATTAAAAATATTAGAGGACCAGGTGCAGTGGCTCACGCCTGTAATCCCAGCACTTTTGGAGGCTAAGCAGGGGCAGGTCACTTGAGCCCAGGAGTTTGAGACCAGCCTGGGCAACATGGTGAAGCCCCATCACTACAAAAAGTACAACAATTAGCCAGTCATGATGGTGTGTACCTGTAGCTAGTCCCAGATATTTGCAAGGTTGAAGCAGGAGGGTCACTTGAGCCCAGGAGGTCTAGGCTGCAGTGAACCATGACAGTGCCACTGCACTACAGCCTAGGGGACAGGGTGAGACCCTGTGTCAGAAAAAAAGAAAAAAAAAATAGAGGTTCTATTTCCTTAATTTCTGGGAATTTTAGGAATACTTCATTTGTATAAGTGTGTGTTTATCTCTAAGCCAATCAAAAATAGATTCTTTTCTAAGAGATTTCGTAATCTAAATCATGAATACCATTTGGAGGCAGGATAATACTACTACAGATTCACACAATGAGCGCTAAAGACTTTTGTGAGTTATGGACACATAAACATAGACAGACTGAGAAAGAACGCTTAGAGCTCCAATTCTGAAATTTCCACTATGGGTCAAGCATAACCATAAGATGGGTCACACAGCTAGAGTTAGTGCAAAGTCCTTTGAACTGACTGCACCATGAAGTACACCATAGTCAAGCCATGGTGACCCTTGTGACCTGCATGTACATGTCCAGATGGCCTCCCAGAACCAGAAAGTCTGAGCTAATAGGAAAACCACAAAAGAAGAAAAATAGCTAGCTCCTGCAGTGCCTGATTAACCAACCTTGTGACATTCTGCCATTGTTCCTGCCTCAACTGATAAGCCAACCTTGTAATAGTAGACCCTGTGATGCACCCCATTGGCTTGCAAAAACCGCCCTGAACTGTAACTCTCCACTGCCTACCCCAAACCTATAAAATCAGCTCCTATCCCACCACCCTCTGCTGACTCTCTTTTCGGACTTAGCCCGCTCACAACCGAGTGAATAAACAGCCTTGTTGCTTATACAAAGCCTGTTTAGGTAGTCTCTTCATTCAGAGTGCACTTAACAGCACAGCCAGGATTCCAGCCCTGGCACCCTAGCTCCACAAGTGATTGAGTTAACCACTTGAAATAGCCCTACTTCATGGCTGGGCACAGTGGCTCACACCTGTAATCCCAGCACTTTGGGAGATGGAGGTGGGTGGATCACCTGAGGTCAAGAGTTTGAGACCAACCTGGTCAGCATGGTGAAATCCCATCTCTACAAAATCACAAAAATTAGACCGGCATGATGGTGGGTGCCTGTAATCTCAGCTACTTGGGAGGCTGAGGCAGGAGAATCGCTTGGACTTGGAAAGCAGAGGTTTAAGTGAGCCGAGATTGCACCACTGCACTCCAGCTTGGGCGACAAAGCAAGACTCCATCTCAAAAAAAAAAAAGTCCTACTTTACAAAAATAGGGAAAATCGGTGTGGCTATAATAAAAATTTCCTCTTAGGGAGGGGGAATAAACAAAATTTCCAGTACAGCTCCAACACTTTGATAGTGAGTGAGGTACCCAGGTCCTGCTGGGCAGGAACAAATGCTGAGGTAAAAAATAACACCTATATGGCCAGGCACGGTGGCTCACATCTGTAATCCCAGCACTCTGGGAGGCCGAGGCAGGCAGATTGTTGGAAGTCAGGAATTGGAGACCAGCCTGGCCAACACGGTCTCCAACCACATTGAAGAAACCTCATCTCTACTAAAAATACAAAAATTGAGGCCGGGCACGGTGGCTCACGCCTGTAATCCCAGCACTTTGGGAGGCCTAGGCGGGTGGATCATGAGGTTGAGAGATTGAGACCATCCTGGCCAACATGTGGATCAAGAGATTGGGACCATCCTGGCCAACAAGGTGAAACCCTGCCTAAAAAAAAAAAAAAAAAAAAAAAAATTATCTGGGTGTGGTGGCGGGCACTTGTAATCCCAGCTACTCAGGAGGCTGAGACATAAGAATAGTTTGAACCCAGGAGGTGGAGGTTGCAGTGAGCCCAGATTGTGCCATTGCACTCCAGTCTGGGCGACAGAGAGAGGCTCCATCTGAAAATAGTAATAATAACAACACCTACAAATCTAAATGGTATCAGGTCCAGTATTGTTTCCTTAATCAGAGCGTGAGTTTGAGTGTCCCTGTCGGGTAATTCAGTTGTCACAAATTCTACCCTCTGAGAGGCTATACCTGTCCCATTCCCCAGGACACACTCAGTGGCCTGCTACTTATTAAATGTTGGTATCCTTTGGCTGTACTGCCCAACCAATGGCCAAAAAACAGAAAAGAAAAAAAAAAAAAAAAAAAAAAAAAAAAAAAAAAAAAAAAAAAAAAAAAAAAAACCATTTTCCAAGAAGCATTTTTGACCAACTATTCTCAAGACTAGTTGAACTTCAGTGTGACTTCTTAGGCTAAAGCTCTAAACAATCTCCACTTTCTTCTCAAGGCAAAACACCCCTTCAAAAGAGTTCTCAGGCTGCAGCATTCTGAATGGATGCTTGGGTTTCATGGTGCAGTGGCTCATTTTCTCCCACAGTTTCTTAGTGAGCTGGATCCTGGACCTCTTCTGCTCAAATATGGATGAAATTTGCTAGAAACTTTGCTGTTTCTTCTCCTGAGAGTACTGGTGACTCCAGAGCTGAGTAAGACTTGTTCTGGGTAAATGTGCCCCTCCTATCTCTCTTTTTTTTTTTTGAGACAGAGTCTTACTCTGTTCCCCAGGCTGGAGTGCTACTGCACGATCATGGCTCACTGCAGCCTCAGTCTCCTGGGCTCAAGCCATCATCCTGCCTCAGCCTCCTGAGTAGCTGGGACTACAGACATGCGCCACTGTGCTTGGCTAATTTTTGTTTTTTGTAGAGATGAGGTCTTGCTGTGTTGCCCAGGCCGATCTTGGGATTATAGCTTCAAGCAATCCTCCTGCCTCAGCCTCCCAAAGTGTTGAGATTACAGGCATGAGCCACCACACCCAGCCCCTCCCCCCCCACAAACATCAGCTAAGCCTCTATTCTATTCTTTTATTATTATTGTTATTGTCCTTGATATAAGCCTATTGATTTGATTCATTTCGCTCCATTCAGGACTCTTACGGGCATGGTCGGGTATAGTGCTGAGATTTTCTGGGCCAACTATTGTCTCTTGTATGTTCTCATTATTTGGGTATGGGCAATCACCAGTCATTCAGTGATCTTCCAGGTCATTGTCCAGCTTCTTACACATACGTACGTACATACATTGTGATGTTAATTGCATAGGATTTTTTTTTTTTTTTCTGAGACGGAGTTTCACTCTTGTTACCCAGGCTGGAGTGCAATGGCGCGATCTCGGCTCACCGCAACCTCCGCGTCCCGGGTTCAGGCAATTCTCCTGCCTCAGCCTCCTGAGTAACTGGGATTACAGGCATGCGCCACCATGCCCAGCTGATTTTTTGTATTTTTAGTAGAGACGGGGTTTCACCATGTTGACCAGGATGGTCTCGATCTCTTGACCTCGTGATCCACCTGCCTCGGCCTCCCAAAGTACTGGGATTACAGGTATGAGCCACCACGCCCGGCCTGCATAGGATTTTTTTAAAGAGATCTTGTCTCTAAAAATATATATATGTTAGGTCGGGTGTGGTGGCTCACGCCTATAATCCAAGCACTTTGGAAGCCAAGGCAGGCGGATTACCTGAGGTTGGGAGTTCAAGACCAGCCTGATCAACATGGTGAAACCCCATGTTAAAAAATATATATATATATGCGTATATATATGTATATAAAGAAAAAAATATATATTTTATATATATGAGACAAGATCTCTTAGCAGCTTTCCATGAAGTCTTTCCTGTAGGAAAAAAAAAAATGGCCAAAAAGTTAAATTTGTAGGCCGGGCACAGTGACTCACACCTGTAATTCCAGCACTTTGGGAGGCCGAGGCGGGTGGATCACAAGGTCAGGAGTTTGAGACCAGCCTGAGCAACATGGTGAAACCCCATCTCTATTAAAAATACAAAAATTTGCCGTGCATGGTGGCGCATGCCTGTAATCCCAGCTACTCAGGAGGCTGAGGCAGGAGAATCGCTTGAACCCAGGAGGTGGAGGTTGCAGTGAGCCGAGATCAGGCCACTGCACTCCAGCCTGGGCAACAAGAATGAAACTCTGTCTCAAAAAAAAAAAAAAAAAAGGTCAAAAAGCCAAATTTGTAGACAGAGAAAGAATAAAATCATCCTAATTTCAGAGGCCACTTAACTGCCACTTTTCAGGAGGCTCTCTAGTCTTGATAAGGGCAAGGATATCACAACTGTCTTATTCAATTTTTTCTGGATGGTCCTAAACCAAGGTGGCAGGTTTAGTTTAAAAATAGAAGGTAGTATGTTCCCTTCTCTAAATTACAAGATATTTTAGAATACTGTGTTATTTTGACTTAGAAAAAATCTATAAATGAACTTTGTAGATGAGGTAACTAGAGATAGCTAGAACAAGGACACCTCTATGTCTAGTC